TCCTTTCCATACATCCAATCAAAACAGACAAAATGTCTTATGAATCATCACTAAATCATTAGCTTCAATTAAAAAAAAGAGAGAGCATATTCAACATTAACCTTCTACATGAAAACCACTTCCTCTTGCCCTGTACCCTGAGATACCACTTGCTTTGCCCAGGCTTTAAAAAGTTTTATGCTAAAAACCACATAACATACAAAGGGGGGAATCCATACATACGTGAGTAACTGAGCGATATCGTGACGCTTTCTTCTTAGGAGGACATTGCCCCTCCACTGAGAGAAGTTTTCCAAGGTGGCCTGTGCGCTTTGGGTTATCTTTATTTTATCGTTGTCATTCCAGATTTCTATCCCCACTAAGGCCACGTGAGTATTGAGCTTCTTATAAAGCTGTCCAAAGAAAATAAATGGCAAGGCATCAACTTATACTGGTGATGTCATCATGTAATATTTTCAATGTACTTTAGACTTTCAAAGCATTTATAACACCACGGTAAAGTCGTCCTATATAAATATATTTGTGAATGGAAGTTGCCATTTCTTTCTTGCAGACGCTAGCATCCCCATTCTTGGGCAAAAGAAACACCCTTAGATATTTCAGGTCTGTAAATTCCCTTTTATTTTGGAGCAAACGTTCTATTGAGACAAACTTATTCTGTTTGCAACCTCAAGAAATAAAATTTTCTATTAATAGTTCTTACTATTACTTCATTTTAAGTATTTACAGAAATGCTTTGTAGCGCTCTCAGAGTCAGATATTTCAGAATTTAGCGAGGTTGAGAAAGTCCTACATCTGGAAGTTACAATGAAGTAGGTGGTCCTCTAGATCTCATACCTGGACTAAACCAAATACTCTCCAACACACACAGAATGAGCTTTGGAAATAAGTTAAGCTTATGAGACAGCACGCTTACTCTAAAGATAAAAGCTTACATAGCTGCTGTAGTTTCTAAAACTATAGTGTTGGTCAAAGGGTGAGAACTGTCAGTTTTACAATGAGTTAGTTCTGGGGATGGAGTGTAGAGCATGGCAATTATAGTTAATATTACTCTAGTATATCATATACTTAAAAATTGCTAAGAGAGTAGATGTTAAATGTTTTCCCCACAAGAAAAAAAAAATGGTAGTTACGTGCTATAATGGAGGTGTTAGCAAACCTATGGAGGTAATTATTTTGCAATACATAAGTATATCAAAGCAATACTTTGAACACCTTAAGCTTACACAGTGCTATACACCAATTATGTCTCAATAAAGCTGAAAAGAATTCCGCAGTGACAGGCTTTCTCATGGGCAACATTCTGCTGAGAAACCCATACAAATGATTTTTTAAGTAGTTTGGAAAATAATAAAAGCCTTGAGGAATGCAGTTATCACCAAAAGAGGAGTCAAAATCTAACAAGATTGAAATCCCTTTATTATTAAAGCAACTTCCTTATTCCTTTCTCTCTTTATTTTAGTCACCTGGCAAATCTCTAATCCTGGGAAAAGCTGACTCCCCACTATGCGTGTCCTCCACGAGGCCCCAGAACAGACGGGAAAAGCACACTATGCTGACTGCTTTGAAGCCATGACTACTAACCTCCGGTGGTCTTTCCCACTCTCCAGCAAACAGGCTGCATTTCCAAAATTCATTCACTCTCTGCACATTTTTTTCATACTCACTCACCTTTCTTACAAATTCTGACACTTTCTTTTAAATCCTTACTTTAAATGGATGCCCCTGCTTCCAAATGCACTGAGCATATAGAAGCAACTAGAAGCAAACTTTCCCAGGCTCCTACCACCCATCCACCTACTGGCCTATGCCCTGTCAAACAACCTTTGCCTTCCCTTTTTTAAGATAGGCATGAATGTCCTGTGAGGCCAAGGACAACTTCTTTATTTATGCACGAGATCTCCTCTCTCTCCCCAGATCAGAGAGATAATTCCAGCAACTCTTCCATCTTCCTTCCATGGAACTCATTCCCATTGGCAGCGAAAAAAGATAAGCCTCTCAGTGGGGGTTGTAAGATGAAACGAGAATTTCTCTTTCTGACCCTTCCCCCTCTAATGTATGCTCCATTTCTGGGTTTCCCTTTATAGGAAAACTTCTGGAAATAATTTCCGTATTTGCTGTCTCTAATTTCACTTCTCTCATTCTCTCTGGACTCCCTCTAATCACGATTTACTTTTACAAGCCACAGACACTTGTGTCAACCAGGTGACCCATAACCTCTCCTTTGTTAAGTCCAATGGTCAAGCCTCAGTGCTCAGAAGCATCTAAAACCTCTGATCGTTTTTGCCTTTGATAGATTTTTGTTTCAGGTAGCTCCTGGAACAACTCTCTGCTGGTTTTCCTCCTACCTCACTGTCTACCCCTTCTTGGTCTCCTTCAGTTTTTTCTCCACTCTAATCTCTCCTCAGAGAAGTACTTCAAAGACCTGTCTTTGGGTCTCTCTTCTATTTATCTACATCACATCCTTGGTGAGTCTGCACCAGGGTTGGCCAACTTTTTCTGTAAAGGTCCAGATAGAAAATAGCTTAAGCTTTGGGGCCGTGTAGCCTGGGTTGCAGCTACTCACCACCTCTGGCAATGTTTCAGGAAAGCAGCCCCAGACAGTGTGCAAGCAAACGAGGGTGGCTGTGTTTCACTAAAACTTTATTTTGTAAAAAAGCAGCAGGCTGGATTTGGTACACAGGCTACAGTTTTCTGACCTAGGCCTTATGCCATCTATATGTGCTGAAGACTTATAGATCTATATAAGAACTCCAATCTTATATTTCCAGCATTTCTACTTCGAAATCTTCATACAAAAAGATGTCTCAATGTTAATGTGTCCAAAATGGAATTGTTAATCTTTCCTCTGAGTCACCATCCCTTACCATTTTTTCCCATTTCCCATTTTTTAAGTCAAAACCCTTGATGTCACTTGACTCTGCTCTTTATTTTTTGTAATTCTCATCTCCCACACACCTCATAACTCGGTTGACTCTATCTCGAGATCTACTGTTCTCAACAGAGCCATCATCACTGCTTTTTCTCAAACCACCATCATCTCTTGCCTGAATTATGGCACAATTTCCCTGTCTCATCTGGTTTCTGCCCTTGCTTTCCTTCAGTTTATTTTCAACACAGTGACTAAGATAATCTTTTAAGAATACCCATCTAAACGTGTCACACCTTAAGCTCTCCAGTGTCCTTCTCTCTCATGGGCAATAACAAAGTCCTTACACAGGCCCACCAGGGCCTTCAGGTTTCCACCAGTACCTGTCAGATGCCATCTCCCCCGCCTTTGCCCTGGCTTACTGCATTCCAGCCACAGTGGCCTTCCCGCTGTTCCTCAAATATGATAATCTACGTTCTGTCCTCAGATCCTTTGCTCTGCCTTGCACACCTTCCTTAGGGTCAGAGACCATTCCTTCCTTCAAGTCTCTACTCAAATGTCACCTTATTAGAGAGGCCTCCCTATTTAACATAGCACCTAAGATGAGACCCCTCCCATTTATTTTTCTTTATAGCAACTATCACCGTGCTACGTACTCTTTAGTTGATTTATTTACATTTGTCTCCTTGAACAAAAATGTAAACTCCTCGAAGAAAAAGATATTTGTCAGTTTTGTTCCCCACTTTATTTCTGTAATCTCGAAAAGTACCTGGCACAAAGTAGATGCTCAATAAATATGGCCAGTACTTGGGTTTCCTTAAGGGGAGTCACCATGATCTTGGTGGTGAAAAGACAGGATATGACCTTAGCCACTGAACCCACCTTCATTTTCTTTCTATCCTCAGGTGATCTGTAGGACACCACAAAGTGACCTACTCACTTCAATTAAGCAGGCTAACTATACGTTTAACTAACAAACCAAAAATTAAGATTTCAATAGAAAGGATGTAGAAATCATGTTTGCAAAGATTTTGAAAAATAGGTTTCAAAAATCTATTTAAAATCATGTTTAAAGAATAGAATCAACAACTGTGTAATCAAAATGGGCTTGAAATCTGACCAACCTAAGTTCAAATTTTATTTCCATCATTTTCTAGCTCTGTGATTTTAGACAAGTTACTTCACTTCTTGGAACCTAATTTCTTAGCTGTAAGTTAGGTTTGGTAATATTTTAGCATTCCTTGATGATTAAATGACATAACGTACTGAAAGATGTTACTGTGTCGTAGCTTGCCTTATTTTGCTTTTCTACTTTCTTCCTTAGATTGGCTTTCCTTTGAGATTTGTTTGTCGAAATTTTCTTATTGGGCTTTGGGAAAACAAAAACCACGCAAACACCTTTTACACCTTCATGGAGCTATGAATAGTGTGACAAGTGGCTGAGGAGTGTCTTTGCAGTGTAATATTAATATTTAGTTAAGCAGCAAGAGTTGTGGTCCCCTTTCAAGAGGCAGTCATCACTATTAGTCTAAAGAGTATTGACTTTCCCTGCTTCATGAGTATTCAGAGAAACACCCAATGATACCGCCTAGCAAGTTGTTAAAATTACATTGAATAAAATATATCATACCATGTTGATGTAATTGGTCATCTCAAACACCCTCTTTCTTATTTCCTCTGGATCTTGATTGTACTTTTTAAACTAAAAGACAACCAAGACAAAAGATGGTCATTGATAGAAATGAACATAATGGTAAGGTAAAAAAAACACAAGGCATCTTCAGTTTATTTTAGTTATCAGCAGTTATAATCCATGATCAGTTATAAAAAGTTACAACTTAGAAACAAGTGCTTCCTTATTTCTCTAATTAAATGAAAGCACTTTAGGAGTAGAGATGATGTTTTTGTCCCCTTAAAGTACTAGCTCAGTGTAAACTTTTAAAGATTTATTCCAAATGCATTTCAGTTAAATACCATGGTTTCCTAAACTGTGCGAAATCAGTGCCAAGAATAGCTTATTCATTAAAAAAATATGAACAGTAAATGAATTTAGTATAACAAGAGAAGTCAAAGTTTTAGGGCCTGTATGAATTAATTTACTCTAGTTATCATAGTACAGAATTTTTCCTTTGAGATCACACATGTGGATCTCAGGTTAAGAACACTCACTCTATGAAAATGCATCTTTATAGAAGGAGGCAAACAATGCACATTACAAAAAAGCGCTTTTTTCAGAAGATTCCATTCATTAGTCCTTATATTTACCACTCCCTTATGAGCATAAATTCTAAATTACCAATGATTTAACTAGTTAACAGAAGCCAAAATGACAAAGACATTTAATTGGAAACTGGAGCTCTTAAGACAATAAGAAAGGAGCTTAGAGTGCAGAAAATTTATTGCATACACGTTCTATCAAGTGCCCACTCCCCCCAAATAGAAACCATATCAGCTTAATCAGGTGTCAAATTTCGTAAGGTCAGAACAATTTGTGAAAAAGAATAACTCAGAGTCATGATTTTTTAAAACCAATCCATACAGTTAATACTCATAAACTTAGGTAGAAGGGGATTATAAAAGACATGTTTATCTGGCACAATTACCTCACTATTATCCAGGACCAAAAAATATTCTACGTATTTCTTTTGTTCCCAAAACTTGTGGTCATTTAATTCCTGTAATAAATATTAAAAAAAAAAAATTACTAAGACAAGACCTTTCTCTGCAAGAGTCATTCTTTTATTAGAAATGTGTAATTTTAGAAGAGATTGGTTGTTGTCTGGGAATAAAGGAAAACTAAGATTACCATATTAATTCTAACTAATAAGCCAGAATTATCTATAGACAAGGCTCAGAATGTCAAGCTAGAAGAGATATCAATGATATTCTAGCCTGGCCCCTTTATTTTAGCACACAGCTTAAGTGATCACACAACTAATAAATAGGAGGGCTAGAATTAAAACCAGAGCGTTCAGATTTTTTGAACAGCGGATCTTCTCCACTATCCCGCTATGAAACAGACAAACGCTGACTTCAGTAACCTCCTGGCGTTGGTGGTGGTGGTTAGTGTCCTTTTACTCCTGTCCCAGTGAACACCCCCTCCTTTACCAACGGTGCAACGCCCAAAGCCACCGTGGCACCTCGTCTGTTCTGTTCTTCTCAGAAAGAGCTGGATCTCTTTCCCACATCCTAAGCTTCCCTATTTTCTGTTCCTTTCTCTCCATAAAACAAAATAAAATAGAACGAAACAACAACAACAAAAATACATCTCATAGTGGATTGCCCCATTGGACAGCAGCAACCATTATTTGTACTAAATGATAAACCATCAAAGTTTATATTATGTTGCATTTCTAGAAGTGCTTGTCTTTTAACAGGTAGATAAGCTCCCATGAAGGACAGATTACTGAAGGTAGACTTTTAGCTGTTATCTAATGAGACATGAGCTTACCTCCCACCCTCCATGGGAGAAATATATGCATTAGCACTTACTGTCCCCCAGCAATGCTCTGGGCACTAGGGGTGCAGCAGTGAAACACACATGGTCCATGTACTGAAGGAGCTCACAGTAGACAAATAAACAGCTAATCGGACGGGCATTAGTGCTGTACACAGTGATGGGCACCGCATGACAAGGTAGTCATTTCAGAATAGATGGTTAGAAAAAGCTCTAAGGAGCTGGCACTGAAGCGGACATATTAACGAAAACGAGAAGCTAGGCAAGAGAGAGAAATTGAAAGATAATCCCAGCAGAGAAAAACTGAGCGAAAGAACTCCAAGGTGAATTGATATTGGCATGTTTAAAGCACAGAAAGAGTTTGTGTTTAAAGCACATGTTTAGAACACAGAACATAATGGGGGGGTCATAGGTGGATGGGGGTACAAGATAGGAGGAGATCAGAGAGGTAGTGGGGGCCCTAGTCCTACATGGGTTTGTAACTGGGTCAGGTTTTTTTTTAGATTTTGTACTAAATGCAATGAGAAGCCATCAGAGGGTTTTAAACAGGAAAGTGACACGATGCGATTCAGAATAAAAATCATTCCAGCTATGGCGTGGGGAGTGGATTCTACGGAGGCAGGAACGAGAGTGGGAAAGTGGGGTAGAGGCTGTTGCGACAGTTCTTGGGAGAGGGACGGTGCCCTGTGGTGGCTGGAGAGAGGAAACGTGAACGGTCTGGAGGATGCAGAGGCGCTTGCTGACGGGCGCCATGTGAAGAGGGAGGAGTGAAAGAGGAGCCAAGGAGGATTTCTGGACTCGGGCCTGAGCACATGATAAATGGTGGCGCCCATACAGGGGAGAGTGCGGGAGAAGCAGGTGCTGTTTGGGGTTTGGAAATCGGTGGTTCTACTGTGACCACAGCCAGTTTGTGATATTAGACATTCAAATGGATGCATGAAGTAGGCAGTTAATTATAAGTCTGGCCTTTAAAGGAGAGTCCAAGGTCGAAGGTATATATGTGATAGTAATTACTGTAGAGCTCTTGCTTAAATAAGGCCTAGCACAGGATAAGATTGTCTAGAAAGAATGTGCAGATAAAGCAAGAAATGGGATGGACCCAGGATTGCGTTTTACGAGGGCCTGGATTGTTTAGTGGTCAACCAGGGGAGGGATCACAGTGAGAGGAGCTGAGAAAGCATAGCACTAGTGAGGCAGGAGGAAAACCAAAAATGGAAAAAAAGGATGGCATGGAAACATGGTTATTTGGCATTTAAACACCCAATAAGTTGAACCCAACAGAGATTTTATTTTATTCAGACCAATTCTGCCCAGTGCTTATGGATTTTGCAAACGTCTACAAGAGATGATTCTTCTGTGACTGAAAGCTGAATTTCATGTATGAAAGCACATTCTAAGTTGCTGTGGGCAGATCCTATATTTATTTTCCTCACTGCTACATCCCCAGCACTTATGGAAGTACTGGAAGAAAGATTTGTTGAATGAGTTCATTTGTGAAGACAGCAGGAGATTTTACCTCAAAGTAAAAATAATACTTCACACTTTGTTGTATGTTGCAGCATTGTGAAAGTTGCCTGCTCCTAGAGGGCAAGCCTTTTACTCATACTTCTTTCTAGCCCTTGAATGTTGTTATTAATAACAGTTGATCCATAAGTACTTATTAAAAAATCAATGTACAACAAGGTTTTAATGTCTCTATAACCTACTGGTTTCAACAATCACTGTAGTTTCAGCAATTGTAATTGCTAAGACTGGAACCCAAAGCAGAAAAGACAGGATACATGAGAGCATTCCAAATAAAAAACAAAGGTATGCATACAACCAGACTGGTGGCAGACGGGGCCACATTTTGCTGAGATCCATGTGCCCATAATATGTCATCCATCCCACAGGAGCTATTAGTCTTTTCATCGGGATCATGCTTGAAGAGTGCATGTTCCTGTTCATCCTGATTTTCGGGGCTTAAAGGTTCAATGAAGTACCTTTCATCTCCCAGACTGAAGTAGCCCCTGAAAAACATGAGAATCCAGGCTTCTTAAAAAATATTCCTGCATTTGAGTGCTATAGACTTAGAGACTCCAAAAAGTTACCATTGCCAAAATATTCCAAGCTCATGGCAGTAGAATACAGTGTAACATTACAGCTGAAGATCCCCTTAGAGATAACCTAAACATATTTTCTCTATGAGGAAACGGAACCTATTGGTTGGAGTGACTACTGCAATGTGGTATAGCTAACCTAAGTCAGAGATGGCACTAGAATAAAATTTCCTGACTCTCAGTTCAGTGTTCTTCCAATTCCCTTGCCATGTCTGCTCTCAAAGTGTACTGCAAATGAAAGAGATTTTGGAGTCTTATAGATAAAAGTCAAAACTCTGGGGCTATCATTTATTAACGGCAATACCATGGGAAATTACTTAAACTCACATAGCTTCAGTTTCTCCATCTATAAAATGAGAATAATAATACAGACAATAAAGTGGTTATAAAAAATTGAAGGAGACAATATGCAAAGCACATGATCAATGAATAACACCAATTTCATCTTAATTCTCTCTGCTGAAGCCCCAAGCTAAGATCCATTCAACCAATATTTAGGGAGCACTCACTATTCAATAGGTATTGGACTAAAGGCAGATGGTAAAAAAGAGCCAAGGTTGCTCCTCTCATAGAGTTTATATTCAAATGAGGAAGGTCAATGTAGGTTAAATAATTATATTTGATCCATAAATATATATATAGTTATATGTCATATATGTAACATAATTCCAGCAGATAATTGCTAAGAAGAAAAGCGCAGGAACATATAACAAGGCACCTGTATTAAGTATACATAGAATTAGAAGATAAGAGGTGATGTGGAGAGATAAAGGAGGGGGTTGATTGCAGTGGTCTGCATGAAGATCATGGTAGTTTAGACTGGGATGTGGCAGTAAAGAAAGAATGTAGTGAATAATCTCAGAAAATACTTAGTACATATAATCAATAGGGCTCGATAATGGATTAAAAATGGGTATTTGAAAGACAGTAAGTCATCAAGAACCTAGGTTTCTGGATTGGGCAAGTGGTTGGTTGATACCATTCACTGAGATAAGGAACACTGGAAAATTACCAAACTTTGGAGAAAATCATTAGCTTGATTGAGATTTCATTAAGATATCCAGATATGGAAGAGAGATGGAGATATGAAAGAGAAAATTAGATAATCAGGCCTGGGCATCAGAAGTCTGGATATCTTATTATTGGCAGATACATGCAGAGTCCAGCACAGGGAAAGAAATGGATAAGACAGGCATGGATAGGACAGACGTTGTAGAGGAGCTCCCATTTCCTAAGGGTTCTGACTTTAAAATTGGGACTCAAAACCTATATTTTGAAAACAAGTGAACAAAGAGAAGCAACTCAGGAAGCAATACAGGTTTATAATGTATAAACTGCTATCAACAGGAGCTATGTTTCCTTCAAATTTCAAAATTTTTATCCCTTAGAATTCACATGATCTCACTTTTATGTGGAACCTAATGAACAAAATAAGCTGATGAACAAATAGACCCAAAGACACTGAAGCACGTAACAGACTGATGTATAGCAGAGGGAAAGGGGGGGATTAACCAAAGAACTCATACGCATATAGGCATAACCCTTGGACATGGACAATAGCATGATGAAAGCCTG